ATCAGACTCTTCCACCACTTAGAAGTGGCATGGCACTGCTGGCCGATACCGGAGATCCTGAAGATGAGCCATACGGTACATTTTTATTCCAGGTGAGCAATTAAAGTTGTAGCGAATTTAATAGTACATACATATGTATATATTACTTTGACGTGGACATTATTTTAGGCCGAAGTGTCTGTTCTTTTTCACGCTACCGCAATTTACGTAGGCTTCCAGACTACTATACATATTGGCAGTATTCGGCAAACAGCAATAATAAGAGCAATCGAGGAGCGTGAAAAAATGGGTACCAATGACAGCGCTTCAGTGTTGTTCCAATTCGTCGGACATCCTGAATTTGTCCGGCCAGGTATGCGTATGCTGTTTCGCGAGGGCACAAGCAAAGGAATTGGTGTGGTTACGAAAGTATTTCCGCTCAACAAATCCGCCGGATAAAATGTTGAAAGGAATTACCTTTAAACTTAAATCTCATTTGACTTGCGAATTATTGATAAATTAAATAATGCAATATACGTATCTATACTTCAAAAAAAAAAAAAAATTTTATAAGCTATGATTGAATGTGAATTCACTTTTTTACTACTCCCTAGCTAAGAGATTGTGAGTTCTAGTCATTCACTATTGATTAAGTGCTGTACCCCGCCAAACGGTTGGAAACAGTAGTCAGATGTTTACATTTTCGAGTTTATCCGACCTTTTGAATTTGAATTAGGTATATTAAAAAAAAAATTATGTATGTATATGTATACTTGATTCAGTCATAAATATAAACCATCTAAATCAAAGCTTCAAATCTTGTGCAAAACATTAATAAATTAAATTAAAAGTTGCGAAAATTTAACAAATTCCAAAAATTTATCGTAAAATTTCAAAATTTTTAATCCCAATTTTAGAAAATTTTTGGGCATGGAGGTTTATAGCCCATTCAATTTCAGTATAAAAAAGTGCAGGCGCTACGCGTTTATTTTTCATAATTTCTTTTGCCGACGGTGTTATGCGTTTTCTTCAATATAGAAAATTTTTCGAACATACTTTGAACCAAAATAATCCAAAAAATCAACGCAAATTTGAGTATCTTGAAACTTGTACTTTTTTATGTGGGCTATAAACCTGCATACCTAAAAATTTTCTAAAATTTCTGATTAAAAAGCTTGAAATTTTGATAATTTTTGGAATTTTCGGAATCTTTGTACAAAATTTGAACCTTTATTTATTTCGTGTGTTCTGAATGATCTATGTATGTTTTTATAAACAAAATAGTTAAAAATCAAAAAATGGTATAAACTTGTAAATATAATAAGTGAGCACTGTTTATAATCGTTTGGCGGGGTATTGCAAAGTCGAATTATCTCTATAATACAACATACATACATATATACATATGTACGGGTATACACACTTATGTAAAAATATTACTGTGATTTGATCCTGGAGAGCACATTGAATGAATGTAAGATTTTTATAGGCATTAGGTTATACAATCAGCTTTATCCTGAGTTTCGCCCGAAAATAAATTCACCCGAAACTTTTTCATCAGCCCGTAGTGATTACACATAAGCAAGAAGTGAACGATTTCAGGAGAAAATTAAACTCATGATAAGGCTGAACATAAATGGCGGAATGACACTATTATTTTCACTTAAGCCTAAGTCGCTGGCTAATGGCCTAGTTAAGAAATATTTTCATAAGGTTTTAGTACATTTCAACATTTACATGGCAAAATAAAAATTACTATTGACGCCCTAAAGAATGTTATTTTTTATTCTAATTGTTAATGTTTTTCACAAAATTTTGGTGAAACTACTCAACGGAGAGGTTTAATCAGTTTGTTTTTGGGATTGGACTTTCTTGCTCGTTACCCGATTTCGTCGTGTTGCTTTCTATCTCAATTGCTTTCGCAGCAATAGCAGATGAAACCCTGAATAATACAGGTATTTCACCAAGCGTTGGATTCCCGTTATTCTCCAACAGTCGTATCCAGGATAGTAATGAGTCTTTTGTTGAGGTTCCAGTTGCACAAATTGCGAATATAGTACCATCTTCTTGTTGATGAACTGAACGATTTTTACCAACTTGATTCTGTGTTCGCGGCATTGCTGCACCGAGAACCGGCGTCCTTAATCGGGAAACATCTAGTAAATTCAGATTTTTAAGTCAATCAGATATGCTTATGGATGTATTTAACTCATAAAAAATAATTCTTGCATATAGATATTTACATACCGTCCTGATCTTCATGTTCATTTTGTTTTAGGCTTTGAAGAAATTCAAGATCTGGATCAGCTCGTAGAGTGAAGTAGTTAATAGAGCGATTTCGCAACCAAATTAAAAACGGGCCTTCTATATAAACCGCTTTGTGACGGGGATGAACACGTAAAAGATGCGACTGTTCCGCACTCATCCCACTTACAATCCACGTTTCATCGACGGCATCTCTGACAATTGTAGTTTCATAGACAGAAACTTTGGACCGTAAGTCTACTGTACACATACGTTCAATTGCCATCTTGGCTATCTCTAGTGTATCATCTGGCATTGGATTTGGCAGTGGCCACGGCGATAAATTCTTAAATTTGGGCATCCAATACATCATACGCCAGTACTTACGTAAAGGATGCCCCCGTCGTCCGAATATATTCAACAACATTGCCTCCATTTCATAGTCAGGCATCACACCTAAATCTTCCATTTGTTCTAACAAATCTATAATGCACTGTTGTTGTTTAGGGTAGTGCATGAATTCAGCCTGAAAAACATTGGTAGGTATAAACTTTCCCTTGGGCATAACGTTGATCAACGCTTTGTACACTTCTATATCGTGCTCCACCCCAAAATCAGCCATGTTGCGGAGAGCAGCATAAATAAACTCTACATGATTGCGACGATGAACGTCTCGATCTTCGAATATTTCAACCATAGTCAAGTAAGACTCCTTTGTTTTGTTTGTTACGTTGGCAAACGGATTTTGGACTGCTGGAACTGATGCTTTGCGTATTTTACGCTTTTCGTCCCGTGCACTATCATTGTTATTCCTTTGGCCTCCATTTCCGCCGGTAGCTTTTGTGCAATAAAACCAATTAGGATGCCCTGTTGACGATATGGCAGCAAGTAGTTTAGCTGAGTTCCCATTAGTTTTCAATTGCCTTCTTATTGAGTTTGAAAGTTGACGCAGCATTACAGCCAAATATCCATTGAAAATTAATTCCAATTGCACTATTAAATAACCCGCCGCTCGCTCCAAATGATCATCAGCTGTTTAAAATCAGAAGTGTAGTAATGTCGAAAAAACATCGATGCATCGAAACTATCGATGTTTTGCTTGCATGCATCGATGTTTTATTAGAACTGACATTTTTAGTACCTTGAACCCATGCATGATTCAATAATACAAGGTTAGATAATTATTGACAGCCGCGGTTTGACACTCCCTTACAAAAGGTTGCCTTTACGAAGGACGGAGAAAGGGGAAGAATGAAATCTCTTGGTGCGAAAATTGTAGTAGGAAAGTACGCAATTAGTAGTGATATTCCCTTTGTAAATTCTAATGTACTTGCAGGAAATCTGACATTTTAAACGA